CATTATACACCTTATGCTAGCTTAGTTTAACACGAAACAGCTAAATGGTAGCGCGGGTACAACAGCGAGCCTTTCATATTTTTTTCGAAAAAATAGACGCGACGGTGGCGCTCGGCCGTCGCGGCAACTACATGCGCAAGTACGCTCTAAGTCCTTCGCCTAGGTCAAGTCAAGGCCAGCTCCAAGCCTAGTTGTTCTTACTCCATCATTCACCAACAATCTACTTCAGTGCAAAATCCGCTAGACGGCATTCGTGTGGCTCAGTCTTCAGATAAGATACCTTAAAAGAGTTCACAGCACCGCACTTTTACTTTGTATGTGGGATGTGTATGTCTTGTTCCTTCATTTTGCCTAAGATTGTACTAGAAAATTAATATAATTTTTTTGAAACATGAAACACTGTCTCATGAAATAAGGCGTTCAACATAATCTGATTGATTCCGACTGTTCGAGCGACGTCGCGACGTGAGCAGGTTTGCCAACATATCGGGGATTCAGTTCTGAAAGCTCTTGTGAGCTCTAGAAATCCTGATAATAGCATGACCCGATGACGTGATTTCAAGTGGCAAATGAGTTCACGACACAGCGACGTTCAGACAATCATAGCTCAAAATCAATGACACGTCTTCATTTACCGTAGCAAACTGTTTCACTTAATTAAAAAATTGTTGCGCACAACCACCAAGCACATCCAAGCGGTTTCACTTTTAAACAGAATACATTTTCCATGTTTGAATTTCCGCAGTAATGCAGTTGAAGACGTCATCTGGCGGATTTTCAACTCCCTTTCCTTGTTAAACCCATTTGTTGTGGCGGAGGTGAGACGGAGTGAGAACCTGGCTGAGGCCGGGCCGAGGCGAGCCTAGTCAGTTTTGGACGCAGGTTGAGCGAGTCAGGAGGTGCGCGATGCAACAGAGAAAGGAGAAGAAGTTTGAAAATGCTTACGGACCACGCAGTTGACCCACAACAGCGCGGGATCAGACCACGGCTTGAAACCTACGAAGTTTTCAAAAATATTAGTACTAGTCAAAACAAGTGAATAGATGTTGCGTTTGGGCCGGTGAAACAGTGACGAAGGAAAACCATCTAGGCTACCCTTTGTTCTTGGAGGAGTGTACACAACTTGTACACATCAGATGTAGATGTACCTTGTATTTTTTTTTCAGTAATCAGGAAGTGGCGGTTTGTTAGTCAACAAAGTCTTCAGGATATGCTCCTGGAAGTGGCTGCTCGTCCGTTACACTGTTTCCCCTAAGGAAGAAACACAGAGATTTTAAGTCGTCCTTTTATTTCCATGGATGTTCAGCTTGCATCATTGCTTATGAAGAAATATATCATTCAGAGCTACGTGTTAGGTCGAGCTATTAGGTCGAGAATAAATTGTTAAATGATACTTAAATTTTAGGTTATTTACATCACAACTAAACGTGTTAAGTAAATCGATTATCTTTGCTTTTTATTATGTTTTTAAATATCAAAATAAAGAGGGCTCATTCATTATTTTTTGTCAGATGGTAAATAGTATTTAGTGAATGTGAGGTTACATTTTCTTTCCAAATTTTCTCGTCCTGCCAATCCACACCAAATATTAGAACTACCGTGAAAGCAACATGTGAGACCTTGCGTCACATTGTCTACAGTGCCCGGGAAACGCAACGTGAGAGTCCTCCTCCTGTTTCTCCTTCTCTTTGGCCTTCGCCTTCTCCTTCTCCTGCCTCCTTTGTCCTGCCCGTTCGGCTTCTTTCCACACAGATTTGGACCCAAGAGAGCATCCACACGCGTCCCACTCGCCAGAGCCTCTTCTCCCCAACGCAGCCGGCCGTCTGCCGCCTCCGCGCACTGGGACCGTGAGCGCCCGACGCCGCCCCCTCGTTCGAATACAAAAGAGTCTGTGCTCGGCCTGGCCGAGACGCACTCGCTTCCGGCGCCGCCTCCCTTGCTTCCACAGAAGTCCCGTAGGCGGCTCGTCTCACCCGTAGGAGAAAAATATAAAACTGTTTCTTAGGGTTAGTTAGGATTGTCTCTGTTTAGAAAACACGGAAAGCCTTGCCGGCCGGAGCGACCCGGCCACCCACGTGGCGCCGCGTCGCTCGCACTCGCAATGTAAAAATAAAGCCTTGCACACACACACGCCGCATCCACTCCCTCTCTCGTTCGCTCGCTTAGCCGCTCGCTCTTGTGGCTGCGGCTGCTGCTGCTGCGCTGTGCTCCGTTCGGGAGGCGTGGCCGCGGCCGTCGCCCCGCCGCCCGGCGGGGGCGGAAGGGCGGGCGAGGGGCGGCGGCGGCGGGCGACGAGGGCGACGGGCGGTCGCCCGCTGCTCAGCCCCGCCCGCCTGGCGCTGCCAGGGACCACTGCGTCCGGCTGCCAGCGCAGGCTGCAACACAGGCGCGGCGCTATTCAGTCCAGCACTCTCCTCCCTGGCCTTTACCCCTAACAATACCATGGTCTAGCCGACCTGGATGGCCGAGGAGGCTGAGATCGTGTACCGATTCAGGATCGCTGATTCGGTATGGTTGCTTGTCCCTTGTCTTTCACGTATGTGTTCTCGCGGAGGGCCTCGCGTTCTGCCAACACCAGATCGGAGGTTCCCGTTAATGTGTTGGTGTCCAGCGTGCGGTCGAATATGCGCCCCATCGGCACGTAAAGGGTGTTTGTCGCCAGGAAAAATCCATAGAAAATTTCATGCTCTAAATGATTCCTAGTACAGAAGATCCTCAGGGGTCCCCAGCTTTCAATTTTTAAAAACATTTGTTGCCCATTTATTAATTTAGTGCTCATCGGCCAGAATTGTGAAGGAATAAGGATAGGGGTAAAGTTTAGGACGCTTCACAGGGGTTGAACTAGCCCCTGTGAAGCATGCAATCTCTTTGTAACAAATTTCATATGAGGTTCTGCAGGAATTCTAGGGAAATCGAACGCGGACCCTCAGTAGTGAAAAGTAAGCGAGAAAAACATGCGACCGTGTAGGTTCTCTCGCCTTAAGCTCTTGAAAAGTTATAATTTAAACTGTCGGCTTCCATGGGGCGCCTGTGGCGGTTTTGGTACTTAAATGGTTCTTGTCAATATAGATACAAGAGTTAATGTATCTGTTTGTCCGTGTTTAGTAATTGAGCCAGGAAATAAGCTTATCTCTTCTGGATATGCTCGTATGACCCACGGTTTTGTCTGACTCTAAAAAAAAGAAGATTCATTTCAGGCATGACCTTTTTCATTTCTCGCGACTAAGTTCAACAGCTCTATATTGTCTTCAGACTGATCCCCCCAATTGGCCCTTCAGATATTTTCTATAAAATTCGTATATTTGTTAGTTATTGAGAATTATTGAGTTAGTCATTGAAGCAGTCTGTTTCAGTGTCCTCATCAACCCGCGCAAACCATAGAGGCCAGAGGCAGGAACAGGGTCGATAGTCTCAAACTCGGAACGCAATGACGAAAGGCCCTCGGGCACCGGGGGTCACCCATTGACAGGGTCGGAGGGGTTGTGGGGGGGGAGGCAGAGCGACTCCGCCACAGAAGTCTCCCAGCGGGGGCGGCGGCACGCGGGCGATGGCGCCGGCGGAATGCGCTAATAAGCGCGCGCCACCTGGCGTCCACGCCCCGCCCCGCCCCTCGGACAATGGTCGCGCGCCGCCTCCCCGCGCCCTTTGTGGTGGGGCACAATGCAGTTTAATTAGCACCTTTCCCGCCTCCCCTCTCCTCCCACCCCCGTCCGCTCCGCCTCGTCCGGTCGTTTTGATTGGCGCGCCGGGCGCGTCTCGCGCGCATCAAAGGACGGCGGCGCGGTGGTGCTGCGGCGTCCGGCTGGAAAAAGGACGCGCTAAGCGGCTCGCAATTGTTTTCCCTGCGGGCGACTGTTTGCGCCGGCGGACCTCGTCGCTGGCGCGAGAGCCCATTATCAAGGTCCGCATGCACGCGCCCGGTCGCCCAGCGGTGAAGCACTCGCAGGTTTTCCTCAATCGCCGGTCCATTCTCTACCGCGTTTTCAATGAAGATTGCGTTCCCATGCACCCATGTCGCTATTCAGGGCATCTTTGAGGTACGTACCTGAATCGAATATTTGTTTTCATACGTGTTCTACGCATCCTACATCCAATCAGATTGCAGACAATGCAACGCTGTGAACGTTCGTTGCAACATAAACCTTTAAAAGATCCTGGTTTTATTATCTAAACAGTACGCAGGGTTATGTCCCTTTTATTCAATGTTCATTTAAAAAAACGCATTTACATTAATAACATCACATTACATTTAAATATTTTACTTAAAGAGAATATTTTCAAGAATTAATAATTCCAAGTCAAAAATTTAGATCACGAATTATTTCCATTTTATTCTAAAAGAAAATATCAGTAAACAATCGTACTTAACTGAAACTTTTACAAGAGCCTATGACAATGAATTGGTGAGTATTTTCAGTTACATTATTTTTAAAAACAGACGCAACGTATGAATGGATTAAACTGTAGAGATAATTTTAATCATATACTTAGAAGAAACGGGGATCACGGCTGTCATTAAAACCTTTCTCCTGCTTATATCTACACACACCCATCTCACAGATTAATCGACCATGGACTAAGAAACTTCGGAGAATCATCTCTCATTACTTTCTTTGGATAGCCTAACTTTGGAAAACCTAACAAGATAATTTGTAACTAACTTGTAAACATGAAAAGAAACGTTTTCAGAATTTCATTTATTGAAAATTAGTCAGAAACTAATTATTTCCATGATTTAATCAATATCACTTTACTAAGAAAATTAGAAATGGCTTGAGCCTCGCCATCAATGACATTTATTTATTTATTTATTTATTTATTTATTTATTTATTTATTTATTTATTTTAGATATACATTATCGCGCCTTTTTTTACATATACTACTTACAAATAATCCCTCGGTGTTCAATAAACCGCGTATGTACTATAACATAACATCTTTTAACGTACCTTTCAGTTATTTGCAATATTTGGCGCATTTTGGAACTCTTTTGGGCGTAATTTAATTCGTGGAATAATCGAATAATTGAATACCACTTGTGATTTGGAAAACCTCAGATTAATCCCCTCCTTGTCCGTGAGTCGGGGGTTTATCGATAATTTCCAGATATCTCGTGGTATCTCTCGTGGTATAAATATCAGTTGTGTGACTCACCTGCTCACCTGGCGCCGAACAGCGTGGCGGCGGAGGCGGTGGTGGCGGCGGCGGTGGGGAGCAGCAGGAGGGTGGAGGCGGTGGCGAGGGCGAGGGCGAGCAGCGCGGCGGCGGGGGCGGCTGCGGAGGCGGTGGCCGCCCCGTTGACCCCGCCCACTTTGCCCTGGGCGATCACCTCCATGTCGCGCACTTCGGGCTCTGCGCACACAACACGCCACACCGTCGCCGACAGCCCCGTGGACAGCAGGCAGCCGAGCCCCGGCCGCCCTTCACACGCCGCGCCAACACGCGCGCGTCACGGACCGCCACGCCCAGCGCCACGCCCAGCGCCACGCCCAGCGCCACGCCGCGCCATGCCGCGCCACGCCACTCGCAAGACACCCAATCCGCCCGCGTTGCTAACTGCGAGTGCTCTTTTCCACGTGACAAACGCTGCTCTTTGGCACTGAAGTAGGTCTCTCTTTTGATAAGACAAACTGCGATCATCCAGATCTCAAATTCCCGAAGTTACCTGAATTCTCACGGATTTCGTTTTTGGGGGATAAAAATGTCAAATTTATGTAGATATTTTACAAATTTTGTCGCACAGAAACAAGCTAGGCTTTCAAATAAACGCACTTAATTTTGAAACGACTCAATTAAAATAAGGAATATATTTACCCATTGTACTGTTGATTAATCCGAATAGTTGGTATTCTATCATAAATTTTTTGTTTGTTTAATTTCAATACCGATTACGAGATAACTCACACTAATGACTTCTAATTTTTAAAACAAAAAATTGAAATAGTAAGTGAAACTGAGCGTTAGTAAAAAATTACATTGACAGAATATTGATATTCTGTGTGAGATGGTTAATTAATGCATTCAAATTTGTACCTTTGCTCATTTATCGAAGTAAACAGATCTCCTACTTTCGCCCAGGATCATTACTATTGCGTTACTAAGGGAAAGCCTCGTTCCTAGTCCACTCGCGCATTGAAGTCTCCAGTGCGAACTACGGGTGGCGGGCGAGTGGCAGCTGGCCGGGGAGCGGGCGTGGCGGAACTTCTACACACAGCACTCATACAACCACACTCGACACTCCAGTCCATGCACTGAACCAGTACGTTTCACCATGTGTTTATTAAGTTAAAAAATCGAGAAGACTACACAGCTATCCAAGTTATATGCACAGGTTTTAAAAAAAAAGTACGTTCCTACACGTTCATGTTCTCTAATAAACGTCTCAAAACCTTCGTCAAATTCTTATTACAAAAGTACATAAAAAATCAGCACTTCGATTTGGTGCGTATATTAAAAATAAAATTACATGATTCAAAAATCAAAGTCATGAAGTATATCTTAATGTTTTGTGGACATGGCTGTATGGAAACTAAATTTAGGAACAGGTTTAAGCACGGTAATATAAACATTAAAAAATATTTTAAAAACTTGTAATAAAAAGAAGACACAAAATTATGAATCCGTGCACACAGAAAGCCTATGAAGGGAAGAGCATGCATGTGGAAGCCCGCAGCAATCACACAGACATGAAAAGGAAATAGCACACACAGCAGCCGTTCAGGCCAACGGGCAGTGCAAGCGCGCTCATCACGATGGACTGACCTGCCAGCACCTCGGGTTCAGGTGAGATCGCGGAGTAGGGCAACTCTGCAGTGAGTGCGAGGCGAGGCGAGGCGAGGCGAGGCGAGACAGGCGGAGGCGGTCGGGCGGTCAGGCAGGGCAGGGCAGGGCGTTCAGGGCGGACGGGCAGGCACAAACAAAACAGACACAACGCAACGTGAAAACAGCAAGCTCAGGCTCCTGCAAGCGCTCGCAGCGCCCCGCCCCGCTCTGCGGCCCGCACGACAACTAAAAGAACATGGCTGGGAGAAGATGCTTTCCCCCAGAGTGGACACACATAAACTACACAAGTTTTGCTGGTAGTGAGCATGCAGTATAATCAGGTTTTTATGCGTAAGAACACGTAATATCGCTAAGGTGTTTCTTCTACAGGGCGGACAATTTATCTTTTTCCCAAAGATGTCAGTGAGGATCTTCTAGCTGATGCCGGCCAATGTGTCATTGAGTTGCCTGCGCAGCACAGCTTCCGTTCTTTACGGCCGGTGTGTCATTCGAGAAGCCTCGAATGATCTCAATAAACCAAGGTCTCGTATGCCTCTCGTTGGAACAGTGCAAGGGAGGTGAAACCTCTTTGTTTGATTGATTGATTATTTAGTGTTTCCGGCAGCGTCAACTCCTGGGGATATTATCCTCGTGTGTGTAGCGGTCTGGAGGTCCGCGAGGACGAATTCAACCGCTGTTTGGAGAATATTCACACTGTGGCTGATTTCGACGTAGCTATGAAGGTAGATTAAAAAATCCTGACAACCTGGGAACTTGCTCTCCAGTGACATCAGTTGATGCTCTGAGCGATCTCTCACAGTATGAAATTTATTTTAGCAGAGATTATTTCCTCAGAATAGATTTTTTAGTATAGTTTTGCCATCCATGAACTTTTGAACACTAGATAGTGACGAACGGATAATTTATAAAGGGTTATAGCCTCACATATCATATAATAATTCTTTGTCGTAGTGACTTTTGGTAAATTTGTTATATCAAGTGAAAGCGTGAAATCCTCATTTGAAGGGAGAGATTCATCGCACTGTGCGAGAGAAAATTGTTGCGGTATAGCGTTATTTGCTTCAAAGTGTATATCAAAATGTTTTGGAAGTAACAAGAATGCAATCTAGCAAATTGGCATCACAAGTCAAACACATTTCCGCATGGGGAGTGAGTCACTTTGCTGGGAGAGCGTTCTTCGGCGATCGATAAGTTGTCCGCATTGAATGTTATACATTTGGGTACAAATAGTTACTTTCAAAAGATAATAAATAAAACACGTAACACTTTGTTTAGAATGGCGGAGTATTTACCGGTGAAATTTTTCAAACATAGAAGCTCAAATTTTCCTTGAAATTCTCAAAGAAACATTAGTATCAAATACATTAATAAATATTTGGAGAAAAAAGTAGCATTTAATGAATATATCAATCTGTAAGTGAGAAAAATAATTACACGAAATACAAATTTTACAGAGAATTTTTAGATTTTTAAAAACAAAATACTTGTGTGCGTAAAGAAGAAATAAACATGCAAATATCCCTGCATAAAAGCTTTTCACATTGCATTAAGGTAGTATACACATAAATTATTTTTAGTTACAGAAAGAACATAAAGGGTACACAAAGTAGGAGCTAAGTGAATGTGAAAGCCAATAAAGTCCGAGCTTACTGTGTTAAAACAAAGCATATGCACTAAGAACAGCTTAAACTATGCTTTGTACTTTAAGTAAAAATTTTCGTAAAAACCGTAAAACATATTCTGTATTAATTTAATATTGATATATTATATGTTGATAAATGAAATAAGCAAACTTTTCAAAATATTTTATTATCTGCCTACTAACAAGATTTCTCATTAAGTGTATTAACATTCACTCTTAGAAATACGATTAGTTTTAGGCAAATCTCACAATATTTCACTAATATGTAATGTATAGACGTTTTGTTGTACTTAATGATCAATGGAATGATAAAATATGATTTTTAAATTGATTTTTATTTCTTTATAAATCCAGTAAATATTTGTGTGTAAGTTGTAGTCAAGAGATTACATTGCATGGCTAATTACGTCGCCTTTTGAAATTTAGTTATTTTCAGAAGCACATTTCAGTTATTATTAAACAAAGTTTAAAAACAAGGAACTTCAGAAAGACGCAATTAAAAAATAGGATGTGATTTGTGTATAAATAATACAAGTGTATTACAGTCCAATATTTGTTTTAAGTCGCTGTTCACACTATTAAGTCACGCACGCAGTCCATAACCTCGGAAATCTCGGTCTCTTTTATTCCGTAACATAAAGGGCAAAGGGTTCCCTCTTTTATGAAGACTTTCAGTAGCACTGCCCACATACTCCTATTCGAATGAACTTCGTCTTGACAACGCGTATGCCACATGGTTACACTTGAACGTTTATACCCTAATGAAGAACTGTCCATTGGTTCAATGGTCAGCAATAACTGATGTAGATTACAGAATTCCAAGATAAAATTTGTCCCTCCTATTGTCCCCCACTAGTTAAAATCCTACCTTAATATTCTTGGTCTGGAACAATCCCATTGAAATACAGAGTAAAACGAGAGGTAGGGGTACGTGGTTTCCGACAATTACATGTATTCTTAAAAAGAAGGAAATTTAACTTATTTTGGATAGTATCAATATTTAAAGGTGTCGCTGGAAAATCTTTTTCAAGATAAATCTTAATGGAAAAGTGCTCTGCACTATTACATATTTCAAAAGCATTGTATAATTTACCAGTGAATATATTACTCTTGCGCTTCAACAAAAAGTTATTGGAGGGGAATATTCAATTCCTTTTAAGATAATTGGCACTACAGAGAAACGTATTTCTAGGGGGAAATTTGTACAATTTTTAACTTTATTTTATTCACCAGTCATATGAATTACAAATGAATGATTTCAGACTTTTTAGTAAGTTTGATTTTTACTAGGGAACTCCCCCACAGCCAATAAAAGCGAGAGAACCTGCAAAAGAATGTTAAGCAGCAGACAACATCTTCACGCATTGACAGCTCAGGCACTACAAGCAGCGGTGGTAGGGGGCAAGGGAAGGAATAAGAAGAGAATGAGAGAGGGGGTAAAAGGGGGGAAAGACAGAGAATAGGTGGAGGAGAGAAAAAACGATTGGCGCGTGCCGGATGAGGAAAAATAAAGGTGAAGGTGAGCAAAAAGCCGTAGAAAAAAGTGACTGCCAGACGAGGAAAAAAGTTAACGGAGGGAGGAACAGGAAGGGAAAGAATGATGCTAAGCAAGGGGATAGCTGATGAGGGTCGTGGTACGGGAGCGGAAATAAAAAGGGGAGGGCGTGAAAGAAAAAAAAAGAGACGGCTTCTTCTTGTCTAAACATCCTCAAAGGGGAAGGGGGAGTCGGATGAATTTTAAAAGGCAAAGAAAGGAGATATGAAAATGGACCGAATATACGACTAACGTACTTAGCGGAGGCGAGCGAGGGGAGAGCGCGCGCGCGAGCGAGAGAGAGAGAGAGAGAGAGAGAGAGAGAGAGAGAGAGAGAGAGAGAAAGAGAGAGAGAGAGAGAGGCGCCGTTGACAAACAGAAAAGCGTCGGAATTAGGCGACAGAGAGGGGGAGCGAGGCAGGGCTGAAATGTCAGCACTCGCCCCGCGGCGAGGGTGGGGCGGGAAGGAGCGAGCTTCGGGCTCATTAGCAGGGAAATGAGCGTCTTAGGTGGAGGGGACGGGCGCCCGGAAGAGGGCAAGAGATGAGCCGACCTTCCCTTACATTCACACAGGCCGAGAAGCCTCACCTGCCTTCAAGGATGACAGGAAGTTATGAGAGAAGGCACAATGAGCGGCTCGGAATGTTCAATGTAAAGCTATTTAACAACTGCTGCTGGTGAAGGTGTTATTTCATCACGAGCAGTAAAGAAATAAAATAAGGTTCATATGAAAATTTCTCTGTAGGAGACACGGAGAACAAAAAAAGAGTTGCACGAGATGAGATCATGTACGATAATAGATGAGACAGAGAAGAAAGGGGAAGTGAAATAACAAGAAGAGATAAAGTCACCTAAGACGTTTTCACAATCCCGTGAGAGATAAAATACGGTTTGAAAAGGAAAACAAAAAACAACAACTGAGGTTGAATGAAGCAAATGCAATTGAATAGAAAATGCAAAGAGAAGGAAAGCAGAGAAAAACCGTGGGCCAGAAAACTAAATCATGAGCTATTATATTGGAGATGAGTAAAAAACAATGAAAAGTATAACAGAGAAGGGAAAAACAACTGGAAGATACAAGCGAAAACCGCGGCAGGTTTCAGCAGAAAAAGTAAAGAAAAGACGGAATGGTTAAAGCCGAAGACGGGAGTTTGTTGATATGTTTGATTGACTGTTAGTGATTCAAGGCGCGTCAACTGCTAAGGTCGCAAGTCCTGTAACTGTAGTGCGTGTTATTTCATCTGGAGGTGAGTGGTTCATCCGCTGGATGGTGAAATATGGCGCCGACCTAGAGAGGATTTTCTCAACCAGGAATCTCTCACCAGCGGGACACCGCCCCACCCGGGACAAACTCCAAACGGACTAACCTGTCTCCCGGCATGTAGGGTAGTGTAACGCATGTTAGTGTGGTAACAAAGAGAGTGAGAATAACCAAGAAAATACAGGAAATATCGCGTGCGGTCCTTGGCCCTTTTGTGTTATTCCGGCATTTGCCTGGTGTTGATAGAAGAAGAAAAAACAGAGATGTATGTAGGTTCTGGTGAGGGGCAGCAATTACGGGACCAGAAGAGAGGATTGCAGACATTTTCATATAAAGTATCCGGAAAGGGTCGAGAAAAGGACGACACATTATTACAACTACGTAAAGTGAGGAAAACATGAGAACTGAACGAAGAGCGGGTAGATAGGAGGGCACATTGGTGCGTAAGGTAGTGATAATGGCATTGCTATGTACAAGGTAGAAGAGGCGCAGACATTAAATAGCAAATGTAAACAATGACATTGAAATAGGGGAAGCGACACGTTCTCAGGATATTGGAAGTGTCCCCTCTGACACCGTGCGTAGTTGGGTCGTTCGGAGGGGCGGAGTGCGGGAGGGTAAGGGTAAGTACTCACCGGAGCTACGAGTCGAGAATTCGAAACGCTGCGAGACGTGGTTCCACCCGAACCGGTTCTTGGCCTGCACCGTGGCCTCGTAGTTGGCGCCGGGCTCCAGCCC